AATGACAAAGATGGCAGGGGTGTAGCACAGGTTGGGGCGCAGTTTGGTTCGGCTTGGCTTGGAGGGGGGAAAGGGTACTTTGCACCTTCGCTACTTCCATCTTCGTGTTCATTGCTTAACAAGAGTTGACAAGTGGTCTACCGAAAGTGTGACTTCATGGCTTCACAAGATTTCATAGGTCTCTACTTGATAGCTCGACACGTCGATGATAAGTAGCGTAAGTGCTGATGCCCCTCCAAGCCGAGCTGCGCCCAAGTCTGCTCCTACTCAATTAGAGACGATGTGTCGTCCAAAACGCTTATGAGATAACATGTCGCACATCACAATAATGGCGAGAAAACCTATACCGTATCGTTGTCGGTGACGTCTCAAGACACGTCATTGAACTGTGATGTGATGTCATCAACACGTCATCTATCACTTGACAGGTAACGTACTGGATCGCGTACCTCTGCTGCGTTGAAATAAATTCCCAGGGATCGTCTTGAGTGAAATTTGCTGATACCGCTGCATCGGGGCACATCACTGGTTGGGGATTTCGGTCCAGTCCGTACGACCCCCCTCTTTTTTTGAGGGGGTTGGTACCGACCCTCCCCCTAGATCCTTCCTCATCGAGCTGTCGAGCGGGGGGTAATAGCACATGTGAAGCGGGAAAAATCGCGAGGGAAACACGATCCCTTATCTACCATTTCTTAGACTTTCCCAACGACTTTCCGACTTCCTACCAATTTTCCCGATAATTTTCCTACTTTTACTCGAAAATTTTGTTGTGGAACGTGGGAGGGTTACAAATGAAACAAGAAAAACCATGAAAATTCAGCAACGTCTCTATCATAAGGTCAGAAGGGGAATACGCCCCCCCCCCCTGTTGGAGAATCCCCAACAACGATGCGCTGCATACCTCGAGGGGCCCAGTCGGCGAGTTTTCACTATGTCTATGGTAGCCCGCAATTTTTAAGAGAGCGATGGGTCCGGGCGAGCCACTCCATCGCTGTGATTATGCCTAGCTATATTCCACCTAGAGTTTAAGGCGCTGTTCAGTGAGGGGAAGAGGGGCATTTCGCACTTTCGCCACTTCTTTTTGTTAATTCCTTCAAACTCTTGTGGAACTGCGGAATGGTGCAAGTGGGACATTTTGGTTACAAGAATTTACAGTTCTTCACAAGGTAGCCTGTACAAGCTTTGCTAACCTTAGCTTTTAAGTACCATTTGGTGCCCCCACACACAGGCTAACTCTACCGATTTCAATAGTTTATCGTTATCTTCCCTTTTTGGGATTCCCTTTTCCGAACACGCGTTACAGTACAGCAAATAATTCGAAAAAAATTTAACCGTTATCGATAATCTAACCGTATTTTCAGCGCCGAACACATGCCGTAACATTCCGTCATTCACTCGTGTTCCACAGATGATTCTCGTCGGATTCGCAGCTTTCGTTATGGAAAACGTCCCATCGGTAACGATGTGCCTCGACCAGTGCACAAAGTACGTGGAATTACTTTCACTGTAAAAATACACTCAGAACCTAAGGACGCTGGTGGTTCTACCAGTAAGGACGTTTGTACCATAGAGGAAAGGGCGGGGTCAACGGATTGCAACTGGGAAAGCTGTGACCACCCATACATTGCTTCTCAACAACTTCAACTCAGGGTAATCGCGGACACTTACTTTGGTGAAGGGGTGCAGACGAAGCACCAGTGTGTCGCAGTAGCCCCAACCCGCCTCCGCTTCTACTTGCAGGTGCCAGCAAAACTTAAGCAGGGGCTGGGAGAAGATGTCTTACCCAGCCCCTGCTTGACGGCAAATTTGAGGGCAACTCAGTAAAAAAAAGTGAATACGATCACGAGGTCTACCACGTTAACATTTTAGGCCCTCCTACAATGTCGCGCGACATTTTCACTCCTTATCCCTCACGCAGAGTAGCGTGCATTTGCAAAATGCGCGGAACTGGATTACTCACGAAATATTCCGGTCGGGACAAACTGTCAGCGCACGGGAACTGGGTTACTCGTGGAATATTCCAGTCTGGGACAACTGTCATCTTGTTCTGTGTTGGACAGAGACACGACAACAATTGTGTCAAGATGAAAATATCTCACCAGAAGCATAGACACCTTCAACTTGAAACATGAGGCCACGCCTACCCGATCTCAGGGATTTCGAGTATACCTTCCGTCACATGGTTTCAACGTGGATTGCACCCCCCCCTTCACTCCTCTCCATTTTTTGCGGTTCTCTTAGGGGATTCCTTGTACCTCCAATCTCGAAACATTTGAAGCTTATTCAATTCCTTAAGGGATGCGCCACGCACTGGACTCACACCTACAATCGGAATGGCGCTAGAATACGTATCTCACTACCGCTGGGGCTAGCTATCCACGTCTCTTCGGAGAACATGGGTTAGAATCGCACTGCGGGATGGCTTTGATGAGGGAAATGGCGTAGATTCTACCACTGAACCCAGCACACTTCGCGACGCTACTTCACACTTGTCGACCTTTGACCCGTCCTACTTTCTACAAGTATCTATCCAGAAGCTCCCAGAATCCATAAAGTGCTGGAAGCGTGTGACCTGCAACTCTAACTTCGAAATTTAGCCCACCACCTGAGACTGGAGACAATTTCCAATGCAAGTCTGTCATGTACTATTACAACGAGCAGGAGTGTATTCTGAATGCTGAGACACGCCACACGAAGCCTGATCTCTTCATCCCTGAAGGCGATGAATTCCAGGTATGCTCTGCAATACTGCTAACAATCCCAACGACAATTTCCCAACAATTTTTACGGAGTTTTTTCATTCTTTTAGGCAGCGGGAAAGATCCAAAAAGCTTTGTTTTCAGGTCGACTACTTCGACATCACTTGCCATTTGAAGGGCGAAAAATGCCCAGCTGGAACTCATCTCAAGGTAGTGACTAGAGAATGTAGATGTTACCTAATCCGGACTCCCTTCAGACGAGAGCGGCGTTGCAATCCCGGCCGCGTGCGGTCGTGCGTTCGTGCGGCATCATGCACAGATTGGACCGCAACCGCAACCGTGCGCGGACTAGATGCCAAATACTCGCGTACTTGAGGGATCAGGAGTCTTTCTCATTCCAATCACAAGTTCATAACACTCCATGCTTTAAGGCTATTCGGACCGTCAACGCTGCTCTACCGGAAGGCGAAGGAGATTTGCACGTTCTGAAGGCTGCCGCTAAAGGCGTCAAGGAATGCATGAAGAAGTTAGTGGCATTCTTTCAACTTGCAAAGTCAACATTCACATATTCACCAAACTTGTCCCTATTCCCCCCCCCCAAAGCGTCATTCGTACAGTAGACGTAAAAGTACATCATCTTTTGTGTCTTTTTAAGTACGTTTGAGCACTTTTATGCTAACGTCCAACAACATTAGGAACCCGTTTTGCAGCTTGACCGCATGCACGAGTGAACCCTCCCAGTTGGACGAGTTTCCGAGGAGATACTTGAACGTATAGACCGTTTTCAGATGCTTTGGAACCACCCCTGATAAGTGCCGTTCCTTCAACTATGACAAGCAGAGCGGTACGTGCAACCTCCTGTACCTAGACGGTATGGCCAACCTTCGACCTCAAGTCCGTCAGGGAACGGATCTCTACGACTTGCGCTGTTTGGCAGGTACAAACGCTACTTCTTTGTTTAATACTATTGACCCCTATCCTAACACTATTGCATGCCGATTAATCTATGAAAACAACCCTCCAATGGTGTTGGCGCATGTAATAGTGACGTCCTTAACGAAAAAAGTATAAACGTAACCGCACGCCGCACCGAAACGATTTCACTCGCACATGAAAACGTGCGAGAGCGGCGGCCAAAAGAACAGAAAATTTAACAGATATGCCTCTAGTGGAAGGAGACTGCTCCATCAACAAGGACGAAGCGCTGTTCTCACGATACCTCCACACCAAGCAACGCGGTATCGCCAGCAAGACGTACAAGGTCGTCTCGCTCAACTCCTGCCTCGAAGTCTGCGCTGGAAATCCCACGTAAGTCGTATTACATTTCATTTTAGAGCAATGATTTTGGCGTTACAAATGAGCCTAGCCGGCGGGGTATGGTTGCACGTCTGTGACGCGCGCTGTTGCGTTGCGCATTGCTGCATCGCGATCGCACGCGTCTCAGACTAGTATCTGCGTCCATTGTTGACTCTTTGACTTGTCTTATCCCCTTTGTAAATTGATACCATATCTACGGACTACTGCCTGCGAGGACAAATGAACCATAGCCCCAAACCTTATTCAATGGAATAGCATTTTGGCTGCGTTCATACTTTGCGATTTGGCATTCTGAGCAAATCGGCGTTTCGAGCGAAAATGTTAGATATAGGTATGGATACTGGTCGATCCCCGAATGCCAATTCTCTTGAAAGCTAGGGACAGGCGCCGAATACTTATGCTATCCTTTTCGTTCGAAATGCTAAATCGCTCAGAACGCCCTAAAACGCCGAATTGCAAAGTATGAACGCAGTTTAAGTGTATATGATCCATGGTTGCGTAGCGGTTTGCGGCGCGGGTTGGTAGTTCTGTTGTCATACTGATGTTGCTGACATGTAAAGACTTGTTCCCTCTGCAGCACACAGCTATGCAACCCCCGCCTTTGCGATTCTAAACAAAAGGTGGTGTGTAGTGAGGTTGCGCTGGAGCGAACTACAACCGCCGTGTCGGTCAATGCGACATCTTCGACGCCATCGATGGGGAAGCTGACGTCAATGAACATGTCGACTTCTACAAGAACCTCTGCGTTATCAAGGTAAGTTCAGGAACTAACCGTAGCGGGAAGCAATGGATAACTGAGGTCGCACGCTTTTCACTCCCCATTCTCTGCCGCTGTCCGCGCGCTCCCAAACCAGCAAGTGCATGAGGATGAGACACCAGGCGAACGTGGTGACAGGGGCGCAGGCAGCAGAGAATGGGCGTGCCCTACTGGACCACTGCCAACTTCTTTCGGCGCTCTGCAAATTTTGTTTCAATTTTGCCTGAATTTCAGGAAACCGACAGTGGAGTGTCAGCAGCTGCCAATGTGCCAGCACAGACTCATCGTATGTCCGGTACGGTCACTAACAAGAAGAAGGACTCACGTGGAGAACTGCTTGCAACGAAGAAGGTCATTATCAATTTTCAGTTAGTGTTTCTGAGGGTGTTTCTTAATGAAAAACTATTCCAGGTGAAACCATCAATTCGTGAACACGAACAACATCGACGCAAGCCTGAAGCCACTTCACCTATTGGACCTCCAGTATCTATCCCGGCTGGTGCAATTCACACCATTTGCAACTATGAAGGCATAAAGGTGAGTGACTACTTGACATCAATTTACACTCCTCTTCATTACGGACTGTCGGGGCGTATCGGCCAGAAGGAGTGCGCACACTGTTTGAAGCCGTTCTCAGCCTTTTCTTTGGAGCGCGTATGCCGACAAAATACGTTGCGAGAAAACCATAATACGAAGGACTATATGCTGTTATGTCATTTGATCTCTTCAACAACTGGTGCAGAAAGACTTTGGAACCGCGGAAAACGCAGCCGCACTGACCCGCCCCGACAGTCCGTAATGATGACGAGACCTATTTTATGCTAGCATAGGACATATCAGTATGTGTAGACATTGAATAAAACACACGCCAAAACCTCAGATTCCCAACTCTCGGGCGGTTTCATAATTCAGGGGCCTGTGACGCGCACGGTTGCGTGGCGGTCTCTTTGACTGCTTGACACCTAGGAGAGTTGATTCGTACTGCGAGGAATTCTACTCTGCTTGGGCTGGCTTCAGCACGTTAACCTTTCTAACTTTGGACTGGAACGCCCTGCTTTAGTGAGCCGCTTGCGCGGAACCGCACGCAAGTGTGGCCACGACCAAGCCGAAACCAATGCCCATCAAGCTAACAGTGCTGGGGGCGTTTCAATTATTCTCGAAACACTTCACCATCGCTATCATTGTGCGAAAAGATTCCTAGTGTGGTAAATAAGATCAGTATAGTATCGTAGGAAGTAACTCTTGCGCAAACAGCATCTCGCGGAGAGGGCGCAGACAAGTAGAACCTTCTAGAACCTTCTGTGGCCTAGTTTCTCTGCTGGCTGCCTCCGCTCACCCCCACCCCTCCAAAATCGTATGAGCGCCCAACAACGGTTTCATTTTCACTTCTGAGAAGCTGTCAGATCAAGCTCTCATCTTTCAGGTCCAAGTGAACAACGGAGCATCATTCAGTGGTGTGATCTTCGTGAAAAACAAGTATGACACTTGCCGAGTAGAGGTTTGTCCAGTTTTAGAACCGTTCAAATGAACCAGTGCACAAAAAGAGATCCACCAGAAGCCCACCGTTTGCAAAAGAGAAAAAACGAGGCATGAAAGGGACTGGACCGGTGTACTGAAGATTGTAACAAGGCCGCGTTTATACTTCGCGATGACTACATCATCATACGCGCTCTATTGCTAGTTGTTGGACTGCCGACCACAAACCGTTTGCAGCGCTCCAACAATTAGCGGTGGGGCGCGATTGGTCGTGCACAAACGTCCTATTCCCAGATGGTACACCTGAACCCACCGAGTCGTGAAGTATAAGCTCAATCATATCGAAACCTGATAACCGACCGCAAATACTCTTAGAATTATGAACTAGGCAAACATCATTGGATTCAGGTAGCAAATTCCAACTCTGCTACACTCGTCTTGGGACTGCCAAAGGACTTCGGTATGCGACCGATTACATTAGAAGGACTTGAGGAGGTAATTATGTTGAATTTTCGGAGTGTCACTTCTCAACGGCGTTCATAGTTCGCGCTTTCTCGCAGTTTACGAGATTTGCAATAATCAGTGAGCGATCAGATGGTTCAGCTGTTAGCGGTGGACCGCGTTTGCTTTCTTTTTTGTGCGGTTACCGCAGAGGCCGCTCTATTCGCGCTCCACCGCTAATCGCTGAACTACTGAGTCGCTGCTGTCGCGGACTATAAACGCTTCTTATTCCAATGAAGTTCATTTTGAAATCGCAGCGGAAAGAAAGGACAAGTAAAACTGATAGAGCGAAATTCTTACCTTTAGACCACTTCACATCCTGAAGGAAAGCGTCGCGAGAAAGCCGAACGAGTGAAGGATGAACGAGAGGACTTCCGGCATAAACGTCAAGCCCCCGAAAGTCGCGATTGTGGTCTTATTGATATGGTTGGTCAAGCACCTGGCTTTGATCTCCAGGCGTTATCAGTGATAACTTATCACCGTTTCGAGTACTAGTTTCTGATATACATGAGTTAAGCTGAACGGCACCTACAAGACGACTGTGGTCATCCAGACCAATAACCTTGGCATTCCCGGATTGGTAACCTCCATGGATCAGCTCTACGAAGTCTCGTGCGATTATTCAAGCATGCTTGGTGGAAAAGTTCAGGC